AGTAGACAGAGCAATTCTACCACATACGCCATACCCCTTGGAGCATCACACTTGGACCTTTTAACCTTTCTTTTTTTTTTTTTTTTTTTTTATTTTTTTTTTTTTTTTTGTCAAATAGATTCCAACCATTTAAAATGAATAAAATTCTGGGCGCCTGGCTAGCTCAGTCGGTTAAGCTTCTGATTCTTGGTTTTGGCTCAGGTCATGATCTGGCAGTTTTGTGGGTTCAAGCCCCACATGGGGGCTGGCAGCGTGAAGCCTGCTTGGGATTCTCTCTCTCCTTCTCTTCTGCCCCTCCCCTACTTGCACTCTCTCTTTCTCTTTCTCAAAATAAATAAGTAAACTTAAGAAATAAAAATAAAAAAATAAAATGAATAAAATTCTAGTTAATGAACATATACCCAAATGTGTTTCTTATACTTTAGTGTTGAGTCGTGAAAGTAGCTCCTTTCAAAACATTAAATTGTTATTGTGGAAAAGAAGCTGTACATTTCCAGTCCTTGAAGATGGTATAACCTCAATTCCCAAACACAAACACAGGTGATGAACTCAATTAATTCAAGAGGAAAAAAATCAGACCAGTTAGTGTAGGCAAAATAACCAGGTGAGTTATTGAATGTTTCATGTTTCAACCAGCCCTTTTGACAGCAGGTTGATTAGGTGACAGGAAGAGGTACAGGAATTTTGTATCCTTGGGTGAGTATGTGTCCTGCCAGTATTTTAGCTTCGTACCCATGCTGTTAGCATCCACAGGTGCACATGTATGCCACTTTCTATTAAGTTGCATTCTCCAGAGACCCAAAGATATGCTTATATGTTTCTAAATAACTAGCTTGTGCCAATGTTGAAAACCTTCAGATTTCACAAGAGCTTACACTTTGGCAAACTATTAAAAGGAAAAATATCTCTAGCGCTTCTGGGATGTATCATCTTTTGTTGGCAACACTGAATCACCGAGCATTCTGGGTAGAATCCTCTGAAGAACTTATGTGCTGTTTGTGTAGAAAAGTGCTTTTTTTTTCTAGAACAGTTTTCGAAAAGATTTTGTTTTGCAAAATAGGTACCTTTATAGAGATATCAAAAGCAATTGAATTGTCACACATTTCTAGACTGTTATACAGAGTTCTCTCCCCTCCCAGATCCAAAGCAGAAAGTAAATGATAAAGATGAACTTCTAAAATATTAGGATTGGCGCTATCTCATTAATATTAGACATCTTCAACATTTAGTTTTAATTTAGCTTGGCTTTAAAAACTGGGTACTATAAGCATTAAAAATTATATATTCATGTTATTTGTGACCTCTAGTTTCTAGTTAAAACTCACTGGAAAAAGCAGAGTTAGTGTCATATACCAAAAGCAATAATGATCTGTTATTATTTGAACTTCCAAGTCTTCCTTTTCCTCAGTTGTGGACACACACTGCCTCAACTCAGTTCAACCAACATTTAATAAAATTGCAGTCTGACTTGTGACATGATGAGATTTACCATGCTCATAAAATTCTTACTTGATGGTCATGTTTGGCCTGGCCTTAGCTCTTGCCTCACCTCACTACACCTCCTTCACTTACCAAAATTGTCTTTTCGGGAACAAATTCTTTCCCCCTTGTCTCCCTGTGGCAGCCTTTTCACTCCCTCTCTCTACTCCTGCCTTGCACTAAATCCTACAAGTAAACCCATTAAAACCATATCATCCATTAATTTGATTTGGCTGCAGCAAGGAAATTAAGACAACATTATCCATGTTACTGGATAGTCCCCGTTTGTGGTCTCAATCATAACCTTAGAAAAACTTCATTCCCAGGAACCGTGCAGTTAGCAAGCTCTCGGAATTACCCTACTTATCCATCAAACTACTTGAAACCATGGCAAAGTTTGTTCCTCCATATTTTATTAAACTCAATTAAGTAATGGGGTATTTTGTCATCGGTCCCAACTTCACCTTCCAAGGAAAACCCACGGCACTTTACAGTTCCTAAGATGCCAACCATTTATTTCTTTGTGGTGTTGAGGGTAATTTGATTTATGTCTTGCTCTAGTTAAGATGCCCATGTTTTCAAACAGTTTTGACTTGGAGTTAGAGGCTAAGGTCAAGTTAACAATGGTAATCTGTCTCTCTGTTTGCAAACAATGAATCACCATTTGGATTTTAAGACTATGGTAAGCTTTCGCTTGGCAGCTCGGTTCAAAGGTTGTCAGGAAAATGTATGAAAGTGGCCTGTGCCTGGAACCTCTGGTCATAGATGTCAAGGATTTTCTAACAAGGCCACCAATATAGTTGTGAATAATTGGTCAGAAGGAGGAGTGGTTAAAGAAGCATTAGTCCCATGCCCTATTTAGACTGGATTGATTTGATCTAGACTTAATAATATTAAAAGCTCTTCTAGTCATTCCCAGGGCACGAATGAAAATGCTTTCAAATTATTAAGAAGGAATGTGGCTTATTCAGGACAATATGTAAGGACAGAGTGATACAAGGAAGTAGTTCATTTCAGTCCTTTACTTTGGATCAAATAAACTGCCATTAGGAAGAGAAAGAGCTTCACAGAGAGTTGCAATATTTTATTACTAATTGAATTGGAGTTTGTTTTGGAGAGTTGGCAGTTAACATAGTTGAAGTTGAGATGAAAATTCACAAAAGTTAGGGGCCAATTTTCTTCAAACGTCTTGTTGTTCTTATTCATCAGGAATTCAGACAAAATGATGACTTTGAAATAAAGAAAACTCTGAGATCTGATCAACTTTGAGTTTTTTCTAAGTAAGCTAAGTGGCTGCCACATAGTAAGCATTGAATTAATACTGCAAATTGGGTGCATGAAAATGTTAGTAGAAATTTATGAGTGAGTATTGGTATCTGTCTGTAAAATACTGGTGTTAAGAAAAGGAATTTGTTTTCACGAGCCACGACCTAAAAGCAATGATTTTATGATTTGAGCTGACAAGAATGTAGTTACTCTACTACAGTTATTTTCATTTTATTTTATCATCCAAAGTAGCATATGCTTCCCTTATGTTTCTGTTTTTGAAGCTTTATTTTTTCTATAGTGATAAAAGGGGACTAATATTCGGGAAAGCCACGTAGACGTCTGTTTGTCAGGTCAGGGTTTGAGCTGATCACTGATGCAGAAGTTTCATGACTATATTTGAGTATCATTTGTTTTTGTTCATTGGCCTTAATTATGATATGAAGAGAATTTTCACTGGGGATTCATTTTACACGGATTCCCAAAATTAACCCTCTAAGGTAATAGTCAAAAAGGAATTGTCTCTCTTCTGGTAGCAAATCTGAAAAAAAAAAAAAAAAAGGAAATAATTACTATTAATTATGCTGCCCCTGGATTCTACAAACTTTCTCTTGTATATGCACTTAAGGGGGTATTAACACACGTGAGTGGAAGCATGAACACTCAAGTCTTTTGGATTCCAGGGTTTCCTGCTTACTATGTCAGTGCCCCCTCTTTGTCCAATCACCATAGCGCTCATCATCCACTGTGAGTTCTAAGTGGCTAATACTAACACCTTTCCTTACCGTTACAAAGGGAAATACTTACATCATGCATAATTGTTACAATCCACTAACTCCGTAAATTGGACATGCATACCACGGATCTTGAGAAGAGTCATGATTGGTGACATCGCATCTCAAACTTAATATCTAATTGTTTCATAGAGGAACAGAAAATTATAGGATCTGATCTTTCTTATAAGTTACTGTGGTTTTGAATATAGCATAGCCAGTTTATATACCTGCATGCTAAAATAGAATGTACTAGATTTCCATCATTTGAGATGTTTTACTGACCACTTTAATAATAACAATTACTTGAAATTTAAAACTAAATAGAGCTATGGAAGTGACAAAATACAATATGAACTTCAGAGACGAGGTGACTTTCTCAGAGCCACATGGGTAGGAATTGGTAACTCCCAGTGCTCAGTCCAGATTTTTCTCACTATACTATCCTGATTCTGTGAAATGAGGTCCTTCTGTAAGAACCCATAAACTAGTAGTACATGTTCATATTACCCTGTTAATGCAGTAACTCCTGGGAAGAAGAATAATGTCATGTTTAAGAGAATGGTACTGAATTATCAATGCTGACTCGGGCTGTGCAAGCTCTGGGTAAATGACTTCACCTTAGCTTCCTTAGTTTTCTCGACAAAATGAAAATAACAATAGTTGTTTCCTCACATTGTTTCAGTCATTAAAGGAGATGATACAGGTGGAGGGCTTAGAGCAGGTCTGGCACATTTTAGGTACTCAGAAAATGTCAGCTCTTTAAACATGACCCTTTCCTCAGGCCTCCACGACACTCATTTCTCATACTTGCTATCTGGTGATTCTTACCTTCTCCTATTTCTACAAACTTCTTTCTCTTTTTCAGCTTGAGTTTCTGCATTCCGAACATCCACTGGAGGTTAGAGTCTCCGAACAACAATCCACAATTGTAACTGTGCTATTTATTTTCACCTTTTAGTAGCTGAAGAAAACACATGAGAACATTGAAAACCAGGCATGAAAAAATTAACTCTTGGTTTTTGGAATTGATTTATTTCTTCTGTGGGTCTTAACATAATCCACCAGCATTGAATTGAAATGTTGAAGTTCTAGAATTGTGATTTATTGTTTGGCTTTTATCTGGAGCACTGATGAAGACGAAATGTTGTTGCTAGCTATTAATTAATATGATCCACACATCGGGTAGATGGCAACTACCAAGTTCCATGAAAGGGTGGCAACCACCATCAATGTCCTAGTGGGATACCATGTTGCCAGTGGTATATAAGGTGTCCATTCCAACAAGGAACATCATCACTTTGACTTCAAACTGAAATACTCTGAATGTTTCCTTAGGGAGTGTGCTCCATATGAGCATATACTCAGAAAGCAAGCCTAAAAGAAATGACCCGGGTGGAACTTGCTTCCAGGACCTATCCCAGTCCCATTGTCTTAAGATCATCTCTCTCTTCTGATCCACATGCTCATGCTGCTTTGCAGCCTGGAGCCCCTGGTGCATCCAGTCTACAGCTCTTACAATGCCACTGCCCTGGCAGCCTGCCCTCTCCAGCCAGTACTGTGATTGCCAAGGTAAGCTGAAAAGGCCTGTTATCAACGGTGTAAGAATGGCTGCATGCTGCTTCAGATTTGCTTATCTGCTGTGGCCTTCTCAAGTCAATGTCTTCATGTTTTTTAACCCATTTGTAATTGGAATGTGAGAATATGAGGCCATTCTGGACGAGAGACACCGTATGGCAAAAACAAACAAACAAACAACAAACAATAAAAGAAATGTTTACAAGCAGAGCCTTCTCTCTGGTCTCTTAAACAATCTGCCATCCAGTACTCTCCTCCTCAAATAAATAAATAAATAAATAAATAAAATCTTTTCTCCCCCTCATCGCCATTCTTTTTTCAGATCTCTAATTCAGATTCTTTTTTTTATTTTTAATTGTATTTATTTTTGAGAGAGAGGGAGCACGAGAAAGGTGGGAGGGGCAGGGCAAGAGAGGGAGACAGAGAGTCCAAAGCAGGCTCTGCAATGTCAGTGCAAAGCCTGATATGGCGCTCAAACCCACAAACCCATGAACCGTGAGATCATGTCGTGAGCCGAGGTCAGCCATTCAAACAACTGTGCCACCCAGGCACCCCTCTAATTCATATTCTTGTCTCTCAGGATGCCTTCAATGGCCCCCAATTGGGCTCCCGTTCTCTAATCCAACATGCACACTGTCAACAGTCTAATCGTGATGTTTCTGTGGTCGTCTATGAGCACCAGATTGAGCCTTCAATGTGATATTAAAAAAACACTTTTAAGGGCCAACACAAATCTTTGACATCATACTTGTTCCTAAACCCTGCCCTCTAGCCATGAAGCAAAGGTACCAATCACTTTTAATAAAAGACTTTATTCATTCATTCTCTTCTAAGAAATTTCTATTCATTCTTTTAGGCCCAATTCTAACGCCACCTCTCTGAGGACACACTGAGTCCCTCATGATAGGGTTAAGCTATTTTCTTTCAGGTGCTTTAGGCTTTTTTTAAACATGTTTGGAGCACTTGCCATATTATTCTGTATCAATTTTTCACATCTTCCTAAATTAGTCTGTTGGGTTCTTGAAAATAGATACTAGTCTTATTTAATTTTATATCATAATTACCAAGCACAGGGCCCTGTAAACAATTGTAAATGTTGAATATTTTTTTTAATAAGCCAATGAATATATAAACATGCCACATGGGGAGCCAGTGTTCTCCTTTTGGGTAGGCTCAGCCTTTTACACAGTTACATATATTGGGCTACAGAAGCTTTCCTTCCTTCCTTCCTTCCTTCCTTCCTTCCTTCCTTCCTTCCTTCCTTCTTTCTTTTATTCATCAAGGATTTATTGAGTACCTTCTAGGTTCTTGGTTTATGTGAGATGTGAGGCACATTGAAAATAATAAAACATTGCCTCTGCCCTAGAGGCACTCTCAATTTAGTGTGAAGGAAAAATAGTAAAGTAATAATATAATTTGGGACCAAGTACCTTAATAGGAATCCCCTTCATGCTTGTAACTGGGCTCTGGAAATGTCCTCTGCTCTCTGAAGACCAGCATTTGAGATGAGCCTTCAGTAAAAATGATCACCTCCATATTGTGCCCTGACACATTAGCATGTGCAGAAGCTATTGGTAGAACTTCCTCCAAATGTCTCTCAAATAGCTCCTGGGGAATGATATGTGATGTAGAAAATGAAAAGAGCATTGATCTGAGGGTCGGGACCTCTCAGTTCTGGTTTCAGTCCTGCCGCCAAACAGCTATGACCTTGGGCAAATGATTCAATGTTATTAGATACCTTATCTGTAAATTGAGGGTGTGGCTCTAAATTCTCCTTCAATGGCTCTTTGCCAGGATCCTAGAATTTTAGAAATATACGTACCTAGTCCTCACCAAACAGTCACTGAACTAGAATCAAACCTCACAGAATGAGGCCAGTCTATGTTTATTTAGCAGAAACCTTCCTGGTGATTCTGAGAGCCTCTGACCTGAGCTGTGTCTCCTCTCAATATCTTGATAAGCTGAAGTCTGAGGCCCTCTGGCTGGCAGTCCCCAGTCTGAGACAGGAGACTCTAGGCCCACTCCAGTCTTTCTCCTCTGGCAAGTCTGTGAGAACAAGGAACATTGTTTCAAGAAACAATCAGATCAGTAGCTGACTTCATAGGTCTTCCTGAAAGAGAGGAAAGAGATGCAGGACAGAGATAAGACCAAAAACAAAAAAAAAAAATCCCCAAATGCTTGTGGGACCCTGGTAATCACAGCCATCACCAAGACTCTCCCTGGCTTCTTGAACTTTAAGATGGACCCAGTCATTCTGATGCCCTTACTCCCATATGTTTATTCTCTGACTAAGGCACAAAGGTTCGGGTGAGCTAATGCATCAGCCCATGAAAAATGAACAATTAAAACAATGAAGTTGTCAGTTCTTTTACCGGATTGCAAATAAATAACCTGCCTGTCAGACTGGCTGCTCTGCTGGACCATTAGTTTAATACAAAGACATCCTGAGGAACGGGTACATGACAGCTGATCTATCACCAGGCCTTTGATAAAGACCTGAGCAAAATATGCTGTCATAAGCCATTGAAGGTCAGTCCCAATTTGTGAGAAATGAAGTATTAGATGAAATTTGAAGACACTTCTTTCCCCATCATGAGAGCCATCGGCTGTTCTCTCTTTTTCAACTAGCAGGATGGTGGATATTTGTTTCGACGATAGAAAACACTTTTCTGCTTATGCTTATGTAACTTGTGGGGGACACTGTGCTGGCATTGATGACCTTGGCGTTTGTAACTGTCACGGTGGAGAGACTGTGATCTTGCGACTGCACAACGTATCTATTTGCCAGGCTAGGCAGGGTCTTCCCACAAGAAGTTACTCTGCATCATGCCAAATGCTAAGGCAGTCATGAACTTCCAAACAAAAAGTCAGTTCATTGCATTTGCTTATATGTATGCTTGAATTCTATATGCCACCTCATAAACTGTTTGCCAGCCAGATACATTGTTCACAGAAAATACTTATATAAGGTTGTAGATGGGATAATGAAATGAAGACAAACTCATTAAATTCTCTAGTTGACATCTCATTTATCTTTAAATTTAGTGGGAAAAGTAAAGATAGGAATCACCTTTCAGAAGTCACCTTGAAGAGGTTCTTATTTCTTTTCAAAAAAAAGTTTTTTTAATGTTTATTTATTTTTGAGAAAGAGACAGAGCACAACCCGGGGAGGGGCAGAGAGAGAGGGAGACACAGAATCTGAAGCAGGCTCCAGGCTCTGAGGGGTCAGCACACAGCCCGGCATGGGGCTCGAACCCACGAACTGTGAGATTGTGACCTGCGCCGAATTGGATGCTTAACCAACTGAGCCACTCAGTCGCCCCAAGAAGTTGTTATTTCTTAGAAGCAAAAAGTACTATTAGAAAGTTTACCATGTAGTAAAATTATGTGAGGTGTAGTGTTTATGAGGTGGTCAGAGTTAACCAACTTGTCTCTGTAATGACTTTGCTCAACTAGAATCTTAGCAAAGCTGACTACTCAATTTTTAATAAAAATCAATCAAGTGTTTGGGAATACAACAAACCAAAAATATGATTTTTCCCCTTCCAGAATCTTATATTCAGCTTACATCTTCATGATCAAAGTAATATAAATTCTACCTAACTAAAAAATAGTCACTGTTGATTCATTCTTATTCTTGAGTATATTCCTGGTTAATTTAAACAGTAGAGTGTAGCTTTAATATGGGAATCAGCTTAAATCTACATAAAAATCACCCCAGAGAGTTTTGTGGTCATTTGATTGCCCAGAATAATTTCAGCTAGGAAGAACTAAAATACTTCTGACTGGTTTGACCAGTTCATCCAGTGTTCTGGATGGCTAATTAGTAAATAAGGTAAACAAGAAATTTGCAACATAAAATTTTCCAGGCTGATTTTCCTACCTAGTAAGTTAAACCACAACTTTGCCTGTTGAGCAGCTTTGCAGCCTCTTCGATATTGTGTAGTACTGAGGTCCCTCTCTCTCTCTCTCTCTCTCTTTTTTTTTAATATAATTTATTGACAAATTGGTTTCCTTACAACACCCAGTGCTCATCCCAACAAGCGCCGTCCTCAATGCCCATCACCCACTTTCTCCTCTACCCCACCCCCCCATCAACCCTCGGTTGGCTTCAGTATCCAAAGGCTCTTATGGTGTGGCCCACCCCCTTCTTAATTTCCAACCCCCCCCCACCCACCCTTTCCTTCCCTCATGGCCTTCACCTCCTAAGAAGAAGCTCTGAGAGAGTAGGAAATACCTTAGAACTCATCCTAAGGACACCATGGTTTTGTTCCTGGTTTTGCCACTTATTAGCCATGTCATTTGGCAAAATGATCTTATGTCTATTTATCTTATTATGGGCATAATAGCATCTGCTTAAAGGAGCATTTATATGTAAAAGCATAAAAACAAATACTGTTCCTTAGATGAGTGGGGGAGACCCCTAAAGTGGCTTATTTTTAAGCAGAGAAATAATGTTATTATACAAAGCACAAGAAAAGCAAGCAGTTCATGGTCTAGAAACTTCTGTATTCTATAGTTAGTCCATCATTTCTCTGAGTTTTAGCCCTTGAGAAGTCTCTGCTTTCTGTTTCCCTGTAGATGTCTCTGGCACCCAAGGTTACTTCTGGGTCCTGATCTTCAAAAAATCCCAAGTCACTTTCAATGTGACATTGTATTAAAAGCTGTATGTGATAAAAGACCTGAGCAAAATATGCTGTCAGAAGCCATCGAAGGTCAATCCCAATTTTTGAGAAACGAAGTATTAGATGAAATTTGAATATACCTTTTTCCCCATCATAAGAGCCCTCGGCTTTTCTTTCTTTTTCAACTAGTGGGATGGTGGGTACTTGTTTCGATGATATAAAACACTTTTCTGCTTGTGCTTATTTAGCTTATTAGGAGCACTGTGCTGGCATAGATGGCCTTGGAGTTTGTAACTGTCACAGTGGAGAGACTGTGATTATATATATATATATATATACACACACACACACATATATATACGTATATATATTTAATAATTGGTGATAGTTTTCCCATATAAATGGTACATTGCTTTTAAAATATGATAATTTAATTTCTATAAAGAGTTGTGCATTAGGCTATTGTTAAAAACATGACCTTCTGTGATACCATGGTCTCTAAGGAATAAGTCAGAAGATACCTAAAATATTTGGAAATATAGAGATTGTGGTAGGTTGAATAATGACCCCTCAAAGATGTCCATGTTCAGGGTGCCTGGGTGACTCAGTCAGTTCAGCATCCGACTTGAGCTCAGGTCATGATGCCACTGTTCCCAAGTTCAAGCCCTGTGTCAGGCTCTGTGCTGACAGCTCAGAGCCTGCATCCTGTTTCAGATTCTGTCTCTCCCTCTCTCCGTCCCTCTGCCACTTTCCCACTCATGCTCTCTCTCTCTCTTTCAAAAATAAACATTAAAAAATTTTTTTTTAAATGTCCATGTTCTAATTCCTAGAATCTGCGAATATGTTATCTTACATCGCAAATTGGACTTCGAAGACATGATTAAGGATTTTGAGATGGATTACGTGGGTGTGTTCAATGTAATCACAAAGGTTCTCTTAAGAAGGAGGCAGGAAATCAGAGGAAAAAGAAGAAGAAGCTAAGTTGCTGGCTAGGAAGATGGAGAAAGAGGCCACAAGGAATGGAGGTGGCTCCTAGAAGCCGGAAAAGGAAATAGATCCCCGCCCCCCTCAAGTCTCCCGAAGGAACACAGCCCTGTCATCACCTTGATTTTAGACTTCTGACCTCCAGAACTGTGAGATGATAAATTTATATTGTTTTGAACCACTTAACTTGTGATAATTTGTTACAGCAGCCATAAGGAACTGATACAGAATTGCTTAAAATAACATAGCCTAACTATTGTCTAACATACACGCATGTCTAACATATATGCATACCATTGCCAACATCATATTTAGGAATAGTATCAGTAACTCATATGTACCTGGGACTTTCCCTCTGGAAATTTTTCTCCTCCATAGTCTTTCTTCATTCCCCTTCCCTCTCCCACTACATATATTCTGTAGGGTTTCAGGTCTCAGTTAGTGATCTCTTCAAAGAGAATATCTGGACCTAAACACTACCCCCCCCCCCATGCCTATCAGTCAAAGTGGAGTCCCTGATGTTATGCTTTCTCATAGCACCCTGAGCTCATATAATATTTTTGAATCATATGTTTATTTGGATGGTTATTTTATTGTATTTATCTCCCCACTATTGCAAGCTTGTTGGGTACAAGGATCATGTTTAGTTTTGCTCACTGTTGTGAACCTGACACATAGCAGATATCCAGAAAATATTTCTTGCTGAATGAGAATATTCCAGAATTTTGCCTGTCTTGTAAGATGGGTGAAAAGCATGCCCCATAATCCAGTCCATCTGGCATCACAAGGCAATAAACGAACACACCACATTCTCTTTCAGAGGATATGAGGCAGGCTTTACATGAACTTTGATTTCCTCTGAAGTCTTAGTCAAAGTCATTCTTTCACCAGGTGACAACTGATAGATATTTTTCACTATGCATGTGTAATCTAAGAAATGAAATATTTTGTTTAAAAAAAATCTTTTGGGTAACATTCAGGATACTTTTTCTTGCTTTTATTTCCATCTTCATTTTATTGCTTTGCAATACAAATTGTAAATTCCTTCAGTGACATTTAAACGTCCATTTGCGACCGACTTTAAGAATTTTAGGAGGTCAGTTTCTCATGAGTAGATAATTTATATCTTCTGCAATTTTGATTCCTCTGAAGTTCAAGAACCAAAGTTAAGGATGTGTCTGAGCTCTTCAGGTAGAGAAGTGATTCACATTTGTGAATGGTTTCATGAACCCTCAAAACGTTGAACAAATAGTGAGACTATGGATAAATTTTACGTATATGTTTTTCAGAAAGTTTATGTCATGCAATTCTAATTTTTTTATTTTTTTTCCTTTTAGAAATAATTTTTCCTGAAAGGTACAAGTAAAGATGATTTTTAAATAGTAGGCAACTTTTTCATAATTATTCTGAATGTATCTATCCAGTGTTTGCCCAAATACAGCACTTCTGTTGAACAGTTGAACCTGATTTTAAGTATAAGGTTTTCAATGGAAATCAAACAAATTTTACTGAAGCGCTATGAGATTCCCATGTGTTACTATGTCCGCTAGACTACTACTCATACCATTCTGTGAGGTAGGTTTTGTTAACCCCATCATATAAAAGAGGGAATCAAGCTTCTTTGAGTTTTAACAACTTGTTTAAAGCCACAGATAAGGTCACTGGCAGTGCTGGGCCTACCTGACTCAAAGTTCATGCCATTTCCTCTAGACCACCCAACCTTTGATGGATGCTTGCAGATCAGCACAATATTCCTAATGGCTCTCAGAGCAGACCAGTCTGAATGTCACTTTCCTCAGAACCCTAGGCCAGTAGGCCCCAAACCTCAAGATGGAAAATGGCTAAATACATTGGGGCACTAGAACTTACCACACAAATCCTGTTGTGTTCAGCACAGCCACTTGGACTTCGCAGTATTATCAGTCTCCACAGAGCATAGGGTTTTGCGCAGGGAGACCAAGCTTTATGCTCACGTGACCCTGTGGCAAAACAGGTCTTCTCAGCGATGGGAAGATTTTGTAACCACTGCATCTCTTGGTTCTCAAATGATTAGAAGCCTCTAATGAAACATATTTTGATTTTTCTGATGATTTGTTAGCCTTTACACATTCGAAAACTTCCATTAGGGAGTTCCTTTCATCACATCACGGTGGAATGTAAGTGACGCCCTCACGTGTGTACTGACGAACAGGGTGGAGGAAGTGAGAGTATAAACATCCACACTCTCAGCCATGTCTGAAATGCCGTGATCAGTTCGTCTTGCTTGGCCACTTATTAACAAGCAAAGTTAGTAAACTTTTCAGGCAGTAAAGCCAGATGTGCTTTCTGGCATACCAGGTAAATGCTTTATTGGTGTGTGTTTGATCAGTGATTCTTAGATAAAAGAACAACAACAGAGCAACAACAAACTGCTTAAATAGTTGTTCGGATGCTGAATCAGATTCCACCTCTCTTGTTTGTATACATCCCAGTTAAGAAAGGGAGGGGGAAAAATCCTCTTTTTTGATTAATTAGCCTGTGTTTCATTAGTCTTTTTTTTTTTTTTTAATGTTTATTGATTTAGTTTGAGAGAGGGAGAGACGGAGAGATAATACCACGCAGGCTCCGTGCTGTCAGCGCAGAGCCCTATGTGGAACTCGAACCCGCAAACTGCCAACGAACCACGAACTGACCTGAGCCAAAATAAGAATCAGAGACTTAACCAACTGAGCCACCCGGGCTTTATTTAGCCACCATTAGTCTTTATTTTTAATACTAAGCAAGCAACCAAAGGCCTTTAAAGTTCGTATTTCTACTATTGCTGTCATTTTTACTTAAAGAAATGGAAGATGAAATATTCTTAAAGATAGTGTGTGCTAAGAAAACAAGTGACACCGTAGGCACAGGACAGCCAACAAAAAACAGGGGCAGCATGAACAAAATAGTCAATAATGTCTCCAATGTGAGAAGACTCTATTAAAACAGGTTCATTCTTTCATGATGCCAAATCTTTTAGATGATAAATAAAAAGGTTGATCCAGGGGGACGCCTGGGTGGCTTAGTTGGTTACGTGTCCAACTCTTGGTTTCAGCTCATGTCATGATCTCACAGTTCCTGAGTTCACGCCCCACATCGGGCTCTGTGCTGACAGTGAGGAACCTGCTTGGGATTCTCTCTCTCTCTCTCTTTCTCTCTCTCTCTCCTTCCCTCTCTCTCTGTCTCTCTCAGAATAAATCAATACATTTTTACAAGGTGTATCCAGAAATTATTATTCAACTTTAGGTTCACAGGACATATTATAACCAAATTGTTTGACTTTTTTTTTTTTAACTGAATTTGTTTAAATTGTCATTAGACACAACCATGAAACTTAAAGCATCTATTTGACTCCCGTTTTATAAGCTGAAAAATACCCAGAAACCTTTTTTATTTTCTTAACAAAATGGCATGATATTACTTAGAAGTTGGAGGGAAAGCTTTTACTGCTTGGCCTTAAAAAGAGAACAGCACAACCCAGCAGAGTAGCTGACAAGTGACACAAATACAGTACATGCTAATGTGCAGAGAGAAACAACCTTGAGAATTTAAACCGGCTGCACCAGAAAAAATATCTTTATCCAGATATGTGGTCCCTCATGAATTATACTATTATTTTAGTTGATTTTACCTGACATCACCCTATGATTTTCTTCAGTGACAAGAAAATTGCAGCTGGCCCTTGACAGTCGGTCACAAATTGACTGAACAAAACAAAATCAAACAGTGAAGTAATCCCCAAGTAAATTTAATGAAACCTAAATCCCAAAGGGCAGCGCACTTCTGTAGGCAATGGTCTTATTTAATAAATTTTTCCCTGCTTTCACTTTTAGAGCTATATTTACACAGACAAATTTAATTCATTGGGTTTACATTTCCTCTTTCCCTCAGTTTGTCCACCAGGCACATATGGGAAGGACTGTAAACAGGTATGTCAGTGTTCAGCTGAGAATGAAAAGTGTCACCCAGTCGCAGGGAGATATACCTGTCTTCCTGGCTACCATGGAAACCGCTGTCATCTCAGTAAGTGTGTTTTGCACTTTTGTTGTAATTTATCCAAGAGACACCAATAGGGTGGGTCATCAGTCAGAATGCCAAAGGGCAAATGTTAATTCAAGCTTCTAATTTATAGCAAGTCCTGTGAGAATGTTTATCGAAGTGGTTGAAATCATGCACTTTCTTGTGCAACCCATTCTCCTAGGTTGCCTTTTGGGTTCCAAATGTCCGCCCCCCCCCCCCCAAAAAAAAGAGAGAAAGAAAGAATGAAGATAATAGGAACTGGCTGTTATCAATCAATAGACAGCAGATGGGAACATATTTAAAGTGATTTATAAAGTAAGTTAGCTCCGGGATCTGCTTAGGAACAATCAAATTAAACAAATTGTTATTCTGGAATGAAAATCGTAACTTGCTTGAAGGACAAAATGCCAGTTGGCTCACTGCTGTGTAGTAAAAACAGGATGGTCCCTAGACCAAACACCTTATATTGATTTGTTAGGGCATTTTAACATCTAAAATGGTTCTAGGGGAACACACGATAAAACGTCCCAAGGAGCATGTTAAAATGTTCAGTCAGCTACTTAATTTTTAAGCTTGTAATTATTTATAATGTACTTTTTATAGGTTTAAAAGTAAAATGATTTGGCCTCAGTTTCATTTTTTCCCCCAACTTGGCCACTGCTTCTCTTCTCTCCCTAGTTGCTCCTGTAGCAGATTCCTTCCACTTTCCTTTCTTAATTCTGCAAACATATGGACAATTTTTGGATTCTCCCCCTCAAATGCCACCTATAAAACATAGATTTATGGTCAAGCTATTGATTTTAATTTTCTACAAGCCATAGAATGTACCTTTTGAATGTCACTTCTCACCGTTGTCCTAATTTTAAATATTATCAGCTACAAACACAAGTTAAGCCTGTGTGAAAATGGTTTCAGTTAGCATTTTGTTTGGAACCCATAACCACTGTGGTTATACAAACTCAAACTGAGGAATTAAAATATAAAATTAGTAAAATTTCTTTTTTTTTTTTAATTTTTTTTTCAACGTTTATTTATTTTTGGGACAGAGAGAGACAGAGCATGAACGGGGGAGGGGCAGAGAGAGAGGGAGACACAGAATCGGAAACAGGCTCCAGGCTCCGAGCCATCAGCCCAGAGCCATCAGCCCAGAGCCTGACGCGGGGCTCGAACTCACGGACCGCGAGATCGTGACCTGGCTGAAGTCGGACGCTTAACCGACTGCGCCACCCAGGCGCCCCTAAAATTAGTAAAATTTCAATTCTAGTTTGGTTATGGCAGATTTCAAGCACCCTGGTAACTGAAGCAAGTTATTTCCTCACTTTTAATTCTGTCACATTTCTCAGGAAGAATTTCTTCTTGATATCAAGAATGTTTTATATTAACAAAATAAAGTGTTACATAGGGCTGATAGTACTTCCATGTCAGAGGGCAAGCTACCTTGGGTTGAAGGAGGGGACCTCCACCTTGTAAAATCAAGGCTGAGTCGGGATGCCGCTCCCAGACTAGTCAGATTGGCTTAGCGCCAGGCAACACGTGGTTGGGAGTTGCTGCAAAGTTTCCTTGGCAACATCCACTATAATTACAGAACTACGAAAAAGGGTTCAAGAAAATATCCATAAAAGGTGCAGCTGGCCCAAAAGCAAAAGTTTCAGCAGCCAAAAACAACTGGGCTTTCATGTTCTCGAGTTTGGAGTGGAGAATCCAAATTTTCTCTCAGCAGAGGTCAGAGGAAGCAGACAAATTGTAGTAGGATCTCACCACTTGTCCATGGTTTATAATGGGCAGGTTGGTCTCAGTCTGTGGATAGCATGTGGGAAAAAACAAACCAGCTGCTCGATAGATATCAATTTATCATGCTGTGTATTTTATGACCAAAGAGAAATTACAAAGTAACCCCATACCCTGGAAATCTTTTATTTCTCCAAACTGTGATACCCACTATTTATAATATTCTCTGAGAGCATTTAAGGCATTGGGGTCCTCTAAAACCATGGGCAGTTCTTTTGACAGTTTTCATAAAAACACCCTTGGTATAGAATGCTTTGAGAAGCATGAGCCATAGAGTAGCCCACCTGTGCCAGGAGGAAGATATCAAAACATTAGTAGGAGCTTGCTTTTAATGCTCTTGCTCATAGCAATAAAAATTCAGACAGACCAAATTTCAGCATCTCTCTTTGTTTTTTTTTTTTTTTTTTAACGTTTATTTATTTTTGAGACAGAGAGAGACAGAGCATGAACGGGGGAGGGTCAGAGAGAGAGGGAGACACAGAATCTGAAGCAGGCTCCAGGCTCTGAGCAGTGAGCACAGAGCCCGACGCGGGGCTCGAACTCACTGACCGCGAGATCGTGACCTGAGCCGAAGTCGGACGCTTAACTGACTGAGCCACCCAGGCGCCCCAGCATCTCTTTTTAAGAATAAAACAAAACTGTGTGACAGCGTACGTGTGAATAACCTGGTCAAACACTAAGAAAAGGCTGAAAAACACATTCATGCTTTTCATTTTTTGGGAGCTAAGTGTCTCAGGATACAGTCACTACATTGCTTGTTCCAAGTTTCTAATGAAACTACCAAATGTTGTTTATGTCATCATAGTATACAGTAGCCTTTAGTACTTAAATCAGAAGTCTGTGTTCATAGCCCAGCTTCATCTAATAAGTCTCCTTCAACGAGAGGGAATAGTGCAAAAATGGGAAAAAAAATATTCATCTCCCAATGGGAAATATCTAAATATCCCTTGCCAGAAAAACAAAGTTTCCTGGGAGAAATAATTGTAAAGGATGGGGCGAACGCCAATTAATGGTCAAAATGGAACTTTACGAAATGAGGGAGAAGAAACCAAATTTCACTCAAGCCAAACGAAATCATTATGTCCTATGCATGTGTTCCCTTGTTAAATTTAGTGAACATTTGAGCAAAGGATGTCCCTGATTCCAGAAGTCAATCTTTCACATAGCTACAGAATTCTAACAGGAAGTGGAATTGCCAGTAAATAACTTATTCTTGGGGAAAACGTTATGGGCACTTTTGTAAACGCATACTCTACTCTTGATATAAATTTAATGAGTTTCGAGGCTAAGAGGTTATACATACACTGTCTTTCAACAGATGGCATACTCATTAGTAGGTAAATTTCGTCAAGTTCGGTGTCCCAATTTCAAAGGATAATTAACTTGAAGGCTAACAGTCATGTGATTTTTGTATTCTGTGTACAAAGAAGGACCAATGTGAGGATGGTTCTATCAAACACGAAACCACCATTAAGATAGTCTGCAAAATGAGGGGCGCCTGGGTGGCTCAGTTGGTTAAGCAGACGACTTCAGCTCAGGTCATGATCTCACAGTTTGTGAGTTCGAACCCCATGTTGGGCTCTGTGCTGACAGCTCGGAGCCTGGAGCCTCTTCAGATTCTGTCTGACTCTTTCTCTCTCTTTCTCTCTCTCTCTCTCTCTCTCTCTCTCTCTCTCTCCCCCCCTCCCTCTCTCTGCCTTTCCCCCACTTGCACTCTCTCTCTCAAAAATAAATAAGCATTTAAAAATATATAAAAAAAGATAGTTTGAGAGATGAGTATATGTCATAGGGAAATTATGTCTCCCAAATAACTTCAACTTACATGAAAATGAGTTCAAAAGATAGGCACACACACACACACACACACACACACACACACACACATCAGTTATTTACATTTTCAAATAATTACACATATGATTTTCCATTTAAACTGAAATGCTAATTGTTTATATCCTTGACTATATCCATACCTTGACATTTTCCCCATTAATAAGTACATGAGTTTCACATTAGCAGGTGTTTCTCTTTTCCTTCTTTGCACAGAAACCCATGTCAGCTTTCACTTCATAGCAATGTGACTGCAGAATTTTCTGTACCAATCCACTCGTGTTAATTTAACCTCCTTTTTGGAAGGAACATCCCAGCAGTACACATAAGACTTCATTGTTTTGGACTCCATGCTTTCAGCTTGCTTTTTGTGTATGTTCTCTAATATCAAGCAATCATTCTTTCTAAGCCTAGCAAATAGTAATGATAAAAAATACTACAAAAAATTGCATTCTAAAAGTCTGACCCAAATGGGCATGAAGTATTATATATCTTGATGAATAGGAGAAGAGGAGGAGATGCGGTCTTTTTTAATCACAAGTTTTGTTTTTAGATATGCGCTGTTACATTTTTGGTGAGGGAGAAAAGACGTTCCTAGGAGAACTAATGAACATTGTATACCAAAGAAGGAGCAATTAACTATGGGAATGGACATTCTTTGGGAGGAGGGAATGACAGAAGAGACTGTGGAGTGAAGCCATCACTTTTCAGAGGAAGGAATAAAGAAATACAATAGCTACAAGACAGAAATAACCTTTGGTATGAATAATTGTCATGTTTTTCTTTCCCTCTCCATTATGGAAAATTTTATCTTAAAACTGGGGGGGAAAAAGGAAGAAAGAAGCAGCCACTTTTTGGGTTTGAGACTCAAGGTGAGGCCCCTGGGTTTTAAGACAGGACTTATATGGGGATTATAAACAATCTCAATCTCAATGAAATCCATTCTTTGCTGCTACCTCTAAAACATGCTACATGTGACATACTTAAAAAAAAAATGTTCCTTCCTGTTGGATTCTTACATAAAAGATTAAATGAAGGAAACAAGTATCATCCAGTCTAGTTTGGTCACTTTTAGAGATATTCTTCCAAATGAAAAGATTTTTCAAGAGGAAGGACCTAAGGCAAATACCAAACACTCTGAGTCAGGTCAAGCCGGTAGGGAAAGGGTTCTACTACATGCCTACCAATGGTACTGCCACCATTAAGGAAAATAATGGCCACCATTGACATGGGAGCCGAGTTTGTACTTGTTCACTCTAGCCACCACAGCAGGTCTGTGATTTTGTTATTATCCCCCTTGGGAATAAAGAACCAGAAGCTCAAAGAAAGGAGTTAAAGCCACAACGTTAGTAAGCAAAATATATAGGTTCCAAATCACAGTCTATTCAGAATTTCCTGCAGCCTCATATTTAAATATGTGGCAGGAATAAAGATGGTTCTCTTTAACAGGTGACAGAATTTTGTGCGATGTGTATTCTAAGTCACTTTACTCTATAGGACTTAGCTTCGTCATCTTAACATTAAAGTTGAACCAGATGGACATGAGGTCTCTTGAAACTCAAACTTTTATGATTTGAAGACTTGAAAGTACCAGACATTTCATAGAGCAGGAGAATATCACAGACGGAAGTGCTTCAAAGTTAATCAAGTACTTGAATACCCTCTATATTTTCTCTACTGTATACTTATCCTGTCTCTGTTTGAACTCCTACAGAGATGAGTAATCATGCCTCCTGAAAAAAGCTTATTCCAATCTTGGACAGCTCTTTCAGAAAGTATTTCCTTATTGAGATAAAATCTGCCTTTCTTCTTTTCTTACAAGGCTGCCTTTTCATGTTTGAAAACATTCCTGTCTTCTTAGCTCTATTTTCTCCTGAATAAACATCCCCCCTCTTTCGATCATTGCACAGATAATGTGGTCTTCAGATCACTCTTTGTTCTGTTTGCTCTCCCTTTATCTTGAATTCTGGCCATCTATCTGTTGCACAGGCCTCATCATGGTAGGCCACACATCCGTGGATGTGAAAGTAGAAAGGTGAGAAACCAACAGAGAATGAAAATGCTTTCTCCATGCTTTGTGCCAATTTGAATTTATACTTGTGTGAAACCTGTATCATTCCAGATAAGACAAACTATGACATTTAAATATTAAATAAAATAATGAATTTGCCTAGAGTGGAACAAAATAGCCCTGTTTGGTGAATTGTCACCTATTCTGAGCACTAAGAGTGGGCAGATTTCCAAGGAGACTCAGAGTTAAGTTTCCTGTAACTTATTAATGAGCAGCATCAGGAAATTTATGCCCCCACCTGTATTTCTAAGGCATCTATCTTTACCATCTCATCTCCTCAGATAAGTGCATGGCTTGAATCATTAGCTTGAAGGTGATTGAAAACACCAAAGAACGGTATTTGGAATGTTGAGTTAACCACATGTCTATGGGCATGAATTTCAACCCTGATTGCTTTGAGTTACAGTATCACATATGGTTTTGTTCTCCTTCAACAGGATGCCCAGGAGGCACTTACGATCTAAATTGCCAAAGGATGCATAAGTACCTTAATGGCGGCAGCTGTGATACCGTGATTGGCACCTATCACTGCCCTCCTGGCTTCATTGGGGCCGACTGCAGTCAGAGTAAGTCAGCCTACCAGTTAAGACGTGGAGATGCTAAAGTAGAATTTTAAGAACTGCCCTTAGAGAGTAAATGTTGCAATCATTACTTAATCATTTACTGTAGCAATGGCAAACGCCAACTGACCTACATTCTAGGTTGAGGAGTGCTTACGTCAGGAGTTTGATTGAGAGCTGGCGCAGTGAAGGCAGCCAAAGAGAGCCCTTTGGTCATAACCTCTCATATCCCAGAAATGCTAGCTGGATTCCAGTAAGGATTAGAAAATCTGTTCCATAAGAGAAGAGCAGACTGGGGATGCCTGTGTACGTAATGTCAAACCCATTGTCTAAAGTACCACCATTTCGTTTATCCTCAGCGATTTCCGGCTCACAAGTAAGCAGTTGCCCTACTTACCAAAAGTAACCAGTTCCCTAAAATTTAAAGACCTAACTACCTATCACAAAGACAACGATTGACTTAAAGTTGCAGGGACCAGATGTAAATTAAAGATCTCTTAAAAATGCACTATCTTAGACACTACAGGGATATTCCTAACAAATACATTTTGATCTTATCAGATTTGCCACTTCCTATATACTTTGACAGTTTGCAAGATCCTTCTGATCTTCAGGGAGGATAGAGGAGGCAATGCGTGGGAGAGAGCGTGACGGGGAGGTGGTTCTGGCAAATTTGTGTCCTTCAACCTGTGTGCTGTTGAGGAAGTTCACTTTGGGATGCTTCACAGAGCTGTAAATTTAGGTTTTTGTGCACTCGTCTGTATTTTATACTTCAGAATTCAAAGGGTAAAATAAGCATCAGTAGATCTTTCATTCAAGACAGAAGTGCTGTAGTTGCAACCGTGAGATTCCGTCACTGGGAAGAATGATAATGAAATTTCGTGATCAGGCAGGGTATTAAGTTGTTATGTGGTAAAGATACCCAAAATGCTTGTCTTCCCCAGACAGGTAGTTGCTCTGTCTTCTTTGTATGAGGGTAATTTTAATTACCCCGCCTCAGAATCCTGATGTTCTGAGGATAAGAGACAAATGAGACAAAGTCCTGGCTCCATGCAGTGGAAAATTGAAACCTAGTGGATACTGCCTTGGAGGCCTAACCAGCCAAGTTATCTTTGAGTTAAAGCCAACCCATAAACATCTCCTAAGGAAGGCTCTGACTGGCCCCTTTGCTCCTCAAAGAAAATCATTGAGGGAAATTTCTTAATTTCCTCAGGCCAATGCATCTTCAAGAGTTTTGATTCCCCTGAATATTGGTAGTTTTTTGTCTTCAGAAGCTGTGAACTTGTACCCGAGTACTTTTCCTTCTTTGCTTTGACAGCTAAGTAGGTCAGAGCCAATTTGCTGTCCACCTCTTACCAGTCTGGGGAACTGTGATACTCATTTATGTCTATATCGTTGCTGTATTTTTTCCTTCGCTTGATTCTTACAGATACTTATTTTATCTTTATTTTGGTAAGCATCTCAGTGAATCTGTGGCATAAAGTTGAAGCAAAATGAAATAATAAATGTGCTAATTTATTAATAGATTAAACTTTAATGTATATTAATTAACATTAATTTAAAAAGATAATTTAACAAATTTGTTGATTTTAACAAGTAAACAATACACTTAGAAATACATAACGATATTTGGAGATGTGAACATGATGGATCCTATGTCAATGCATAGAAGTGTAAACTAAAATTCAGAGGGGACATTAAGAGGAAACACTCAAGATTATTGGGCGCATGCATGCATATGTGTGCATGTGCGTGTGTGCGCATGCGCACACACGCACATACACACTTGCTAAGGCAGCCATGTGGTAAAGCAAGGCTGAGTTTGTAAGAGTCATTTATATCATATATGTAAGTGTTTGACACTAGATATTTGGTTGGAATTCCTGATGTCAACCAAAATTGCACTAAGTAAGCAACCACTTGAACAGTGCCTTTTTTTGTTTTATTTCTTTCAAAGTAACCTTTTAAGTTGAAAACCAAACCGAAGGCAAGACAAGGAAGCCCATTTGATTAAAAGAAAGGGTCGTGTATTTACAAGGTTTTTTAAAGTCTTGACTGGCAAAACGTTTTAATAAGCAAAATCTGGTTTTGTTTTGCTCCTTCCTGCAGCTTGTCCTGAGGATCACCACGGGCGGGACTGTGTCCAGCCGTGTTCTTGTGGCTCAGGACAGTGTGACCCAGTGACTGGAAGGTGCCAATGTCCACCTGGCAAAATGAGAGCCAGGTGTCAGCAAGGTAACAATGGCTGCAGGGTCACCTTGTCCGTCCAGGCACTAACTAAGCTACACTATGAAAGCAGATGTGGTGCCAAGGAATATAATTCAATGGGCATTGTTTATAACACTTTCTTCTTAAATGCGGCTTTAATAATATGAAAGTACACACTCTTGTTGAACTGTATAGCAAATAGCCTACCGAAGGGTAAAAAAAAATTGAAAACAAAAACAAAGAATTATTGATGCAAACTCTTGACGAGGAGCAAATTTTGAAATAACTTTGGCTAACTTTTGCAAAACCACCCCAAATTGTGTGTTGGGGTTGTCTAATTATAAGAACTGAAAAGTTTTATATTTTCTCCAACTTTCAGAAGCCCATTGAAAGCTGGAAGAAAACTGAGAGACAAAAAGGAAAATATGGTCTTTGTTTAAAGCTATAAAACTTTCTTGGGGCGCCTGGGTGACTTAGTTAAGTGTCCGACTTCAGTTCAGGTCATGATGTCACGGCTTGTGGGTTGGAGCCCTGCGTCAGGCTCTGTGCTGACAGCTCACAGCCTGGAGCCTGCTTTGGAGTCTGTGTCCCCCTCTCTCTCTGCCCCTCCCCTGCTCATGATCTCTCTCTGTCTCTCAAAAATAAATAAAAGTTAAAAAAATTGTTTTAAATTACAAAACCTTCTTGTCCTAAATCATATTATTATTCTCACAATAATAGTCATAACAGAAGAACTCTCAAGTTCAGTGAAATGATATGCAGAGAGCCACTTCTCTATGGCATTCACAGAGGGGCAAAACCAATGACCCTTTGTTAAAAACACTAGGGTTGGCTGCATGAGCATGCTGTAGGAGCTTCCTTTAACCTCACTGTGCATCACAGAGTTGCAGGAAATTGGAATGAAACCAGGAAGTGCACAGACCTAGCATCTTTTCAAGTCTGCCCTAGGATAGAGGGGATCTATGGGTGATAAGCAGCCTTGCAGCTAAGGGGAGCTAAGCCTACACACACACACACACACACACACACACACACACCACAACTTTGTGTCATATGGAATTTTACTCTGGGCCCAGGAGGCTTCCAACTGGCTGAAATGATTTTTCTAGCCCCAGATCCATACTCACCTCCCCTAAATAGCTAGTGCACACAAAACTAACCAGATACAAGAAATTAAAAGCAAAAACAAAAACTTGATGCATTAAAAAAAAAAAAAACACCCTCCTCCCATTTTGGAAGCAATATATGAAACCATTCAAAGCCTTGGTTACTTTTTCAGTGAAAATTCTATAAGAAGGGTAAAGGAGAAAAGGAATAAGAAAACAAAAAGCAGATGGACATCGAGCACAGAAGTTTTGCTACGAAGCACATGGAAATATTAAGCAGAATTTCTTCCAAGAATTTGAAGGACATAATGAAAAAGCTTTCTCTACAAATCGTGAGTGCAACGCAGAGATACAAGGGTTCATGGAATAAATGAAAAGACAACAAAGGGAAATGAAAAAGTAAGCTGGCAGAGCTCTGAAAGACGTATAAATGAAAATTAAACCTCACATCATAGAAATGAAGACCATATTGAACACAGGTAATAGGAGGATTGAATTCGCTTATGTGACAGCCAGGTACATGGAGAATATGCTTGAGAAAAGTGAAAACAATGAAATGGGGAAAAGAGGGAGAAATATATATAAGTGCAAAAGAAAATATTCAAGTATAATATTCAAGATTTTTTCCCCCTGAAATGAAAAAAAGGTCCACTGCTACAGATTGAACACATTCTATCCTTGGAAACTCGACTTAAGTTTGATCAGAAGCAAGGGGAATCTCCATTGAGGACATAAGAAAAAAAGTGAGATCTCATATGAAGAGAGGGGGAAAAATCAGTCTGGCCTCATGCCTCATGGCAATAATCACAACCATTGCTAGCGTGTGGGTAATCAATGCCTGTGAAGTTCTTGGGAAAAAATATGACTCAAATATTTTATACATGGTTAAACTTTATTCAAGGATAGCATGACTGAAAATGAACAACTATTTTTAGTAATAACAAGTTGTTGGGGATATGGTCACAATAAAATATTTTTGAAGAAACTGTAGAAGATAAATTTGAGCAACCAAGTAATAAATGAAAGATCTCTGTTAAAAAGACTAATAGTGAGTATTAAATCTATATTTATTAAGGCTAAGTTTAAAACAAGTGTGGGAATTATGGTCACTTGACGTAAGATAACTATATAAATATTTAACAGTATAGCAATTTTGATAGTTAAGCAAAACAGGCATAAACTGGAAGGAAAGAGAAGATGAAGGGGGATAAGTATACTGACCTTATTTCTTCATGAAAAGTTGTAGAATAGGAGGGATGGATCTGTGTCAAAATGTATTACTTAAATATGACAACTCAATAAGCATGCTTAAAAGTATAAAGGTAAATGCTGGAACTTAAAATTCTGGAACTGAGGATTTAAGAACAAAAACATAGCCAACTAAAATCAGGTGAAGGAGAGGAATAAAAAAAATTAAAAGAAAATTGAAAATTAAGAGAAAAGAAAATTAACAATTAAGAGAAAGAAGATTCATATTAATGCCATAACCACTCAGCAAGCCAATCTGTACTAAATAAAGAAATTAATTACACTATGTAATAATATATTTACTGTCTAAAAAAGTGTCTCTGGACTATATAAAATAATATATATAAGACTTAACTTAGAGAAAGATGGAGTACACACACTTGTCCCTCTTCCTTCCTCTAAACAGTAGAATTTTTGTCGCCATATTGAAAGCAAACATAAGAATCTCTGATGTGGAGAGAACAAGGCAGACTTGCTAGGGACTTCAGGGATCTAGGGAACAGGAATCGTGAATTCCTTGGGTTTTCATTTTGACCCATATATCCTGGACTGGGAGAACCTGCAACCCAGAAGGCCAACGGGTGCAGACAAAAGAAAAATCCAAGATATGCCTGCTTTCTCTAAATGAAAGACCAGGAAAAGGGCAGTGAAGCAAGAGAGAAAACTCAGACAATAACTGATCAATACTCCAGTCAAACACTAAAGAGTAAAACTGCATCCTTGGCTCTAACCTCACTACCAAAGGCCAAATGAGGAGTCTGCCCTTCAGACTCCATCTGGATATGTGAGGTACCTTTGCCACACACAAGTCAGTGTGAGAGAAAGAGCTGGGACTTTCACCCCTGCCACATAGGGATGTATCTTCTGCCCTGGCTATGCCAGTGGAAACCATGTGGAAAGCGTGAACTTCCACCCCCACTGGACGATATGGAGACACCACTGGTTCCTTCTAGGGTGGTGTCACAGGAGATCAGTGCTTTCACAACCATCAAGCACCAATGAGGCAACCTTGTGCAATGTCAGTGGAGGTGGAGTGGGGAGCCATAGGAGCCACTTCTACCCCTCCATCAGATAGGTGTCATGAGAGGCCCCATGGGGAGCCTGAACCCTCACACCGACCCAGCAGGAATGATGCAGATTTAACAATGCCCCACTTGGGGGCTATGTGGAGAACTTGGATTTCAACTTCCATCTGATGAGCCTCTTTCCTTGCAAGTACAGTATCATAGGAGACTTGCTAAAACATTAAATGAGATCTAGAATCTTATATGATAATATTCAAAATATCCACGTTTCATTAAAAAATTATCCATCATACCAACAACCAGGAACATTCCGATTTGAATAAGAAAATAATCAACAGACAGCAACACTCTGATGATATTGATTTTAAAATTATCTGATCAGAAGTTTAAATAAGCCATTATAAGTAAAAATACTTCAGTGAGCAACTTTTGCCATGTGTAAACCAAATAAAAAAAAAAATAAGCTCAGCAAAGAATAAGAAACATAAAGAAGAACCAAATGGAAACTTGAGACTTGGAAAATACAATATTCAAAAAAACCCAAAAAACATAATTAATGAATGGGCTTAGTGGAGAGGAGAGAGGGACATATCAATACATTTGAAGATAAAACAATAGAAATTACTCAATTTCAACAATAGACAGGGAAAAGAAAAAAAAGAAAAAAGAAGAACCTCGAGGACCTGTGGAACTATTAAAAAAATCTGGGGCGCCTGGGTGGCTCAGTCCGTTAAGAATCCGACTCCAGCTCAGGTCATGATCTCATGGTTCATGAGTTCAGGCCCCGCTTCGGGCTCTGTGCTGACAGCTCAGAGCCTGGAGCCTGCTTCGGATTCTATGTCTCTGTCTCTCTCTCTGCCCCTCCCAGCTCACACTTTGTCTCTCTCTGTGTCTCAGAAATAAACATTAAAAGATATTAATATGTCATTTGCAAATATCTTTTCCCATTCCGTCAGTTGTCTTTTAGTTTTGTTGATTGTTTCCTTTGCAGTGCAGAAGCTTTTTATCTTCATTAGGTCCCAATAGTTCATTGTTGCTTTTAATTCCCTTGCCTTTGGAGATGTGTCAAGTAAGAAATTGCTGTGGCTGAGGTCAGAGAGGTTTTTCCTTGCTTTCTCCTCTAGGGTTTTGATGGTTTCCTGTCTCACATTCAGGTCCTTTATCCGTTTTGAGTTTATTTTTGTGAATGGTGTAAGAAAGTGGTCTAGTTTCATTCTTCTGCATGTTACTGTCTAGTTCTCCCAGCACCATTTGTTAAAGAGACTGTCTTTTTTCCATTGGATATTCTTTCCTGCTTTGTCAAAAATTAGTTGGCCATACTTTTGTGGGTCCAATTCTGGAGTCTCTACTCTATTCCACTGGTCTATGTGTCTGTTTTTGTGACAATACCATGCTGTCTTGATGATTACAGCTTTGTAGTAGAGGAAAAGATAATTGCAAATGACATATCAGATAAAGGGCTAGTATCCAAAATCTATAAAGAACTCACCAAACTCCACACCCGAAAAACAAATAATCCAGGGAAGAAATGGGCAGAAAACACGAGTAGACACTTCTCTAAAGAAGACATCCAGGTGGCCAACAGGCACATGAAAAGATGCTCAACGTCACTCCTCATCAGGGAAAGACAAATCAAAACCACACTGAG